GGGTTTCCCCCCGGCCGCGCCGCGGAGCCTGCGGGACGAGCCTCGCGCTCCGGCAGAAACGAGGCGAAATTCGATTCGTTTACATGTTTTATTGTTGTAAACATTAAAATTGTCTTTCTCAAAGAAAGAGTTTTCGGGAGAAAAAATAATAATAATAATCATCATCATCATCATCATAATCATCATCAGCGATTCTAACTGTCTCACACCATATCAAAAAAAGGCAGCAACTTTCCCGTGTGCCCAACTGGGGATACAAAGAAAAATACTACAGAATATGGCATATTAAAAATAGTACTCGAACATAAAATAATATATTAACCGACAATTTTTAGACATAAAAAAATAAAGCAGAAAACGAAAACGGAACAAAACAAACCAAAAAAGTCAAAGTGCTCAGTAATTTCCAGGGAGTTATGTATAGTATAAGCACTCTGGAAACAGTCAAAAGCTGCTGCATGCAAGATCTGTTTAGCTTTAGACAACAAAATAATCAAGATATAAACTTCTTCTTTAATCAACATCAACAGTACATACAACACTTACAAACAAGGGGTGTCGGGTGGTGTTTACAAACACTATGTGTCCCTCGGGGGGATTTCGGGGGGTAACACTTGTGCCCACCTATTTTACACTTGAGAAAATGTTCGAAGCTTAGATAACTACCAGTCTTTATAAAAGCTACCAGACTACATAGTGTCTGAAATACTATTTATAGAATATAGACATCACTGAAATAGCAAGTGCCTATAACATTGTCACCCTGGAGTCGTCATGCTTCCCTGGCATGGACACGTTGGGGTTTCTCTCTCTTTATTCTCCCTTTTTTTCTTAGTAATTTTTTTTTCCAAACACCTTCAGCTTTTAATTATCTAATTTTTTAGAGCGATTTTCCATATTTCTCCACAAATAGGCACAGAATAATTTTTTTTCAAAAGCCAAACCGCATTGAGAAATTTACAAGCCTTTGCCTCGGCTCACGCCCTGCTGCCCACGGCGCTCGGGGTCTGGGTATGGCACAGCCTTCTCCTACAGCAGAAAACTTGAGTCTTTAGGAGGGCGAGGCTCGAGGGTCAGCGCTGGGTTTGTCGCCACCCACAGAGGGTCCTCTCTGCAATCACAAGTCCTTACTAACCAATTCGTTTAGAAGCCGATAATAAAAAGTTTATACCATGGTATTGTGTGGTCCATGAGCTGCATCCGTGATGCCCCAGAGCCAAAATGCCCATCGCGTTCTGCCCGCAGGAGTTTGCAGCCCTGGGTGGGGTGGGAGCTGGCACCCAGGGGTGCTGCTCTGCGCCCAGACCAGCTCCCCTCAGACACGTGGAGCTTCTCGTCGGGTCAGTGGAAGCACAACGGGAAGAGTCTTAAAAAGGTAAAGTGTCCAAAAAAAGTTTGTCGATTATTGCTGGTGGTGGCACCAAGTCTTCGAGTTTCAGGTAGAAAATGCGCTGCAGCCCCTGCGTGCAAAGCGTGCGCAGTTCGGGGAGCTTCCCCAAGAGTTTGGACAAGTAGTTGGGGCGATTCAGCCCCCCGTTATTGAAAGACACATGGGCTTTGAGGCATTTTACAATCTTGTTCTGAAGCTCTTCCACCCTCTTGGGTTCCTTGAGCCCGTGCCTCTCTGCAAAGAGAAGGGAGCAGGACGTTAGGGGCTGGGCAGGGCGGGCGAGGGGAACAGCAAGGGCTGGGGGGAGGGCACACTGACCTGTCACCATGGCCAGGGCCGCGATGCAAGAGAAGGCAGAGATGTCGATGTTCATGTTTTGCAGGTTGGAGGAAAATTCCACGATGGAATCGATCCACTCCCCAAAGCCACGGACGCACTGCAACCGGTGCAGGACCACCCCGTTGCAGAAAATCAGCTTCCCCTCCACGGGGTTGGACCTGGAAGGAAGGGGATAACCCCGAAAGGAACAGATGGAGGGATGAGGGGGGTGAAATTAGATAGAAAGATAGAAAGGAGCAAAAGAAACAGAAGGTGAGAAAGACAAAAGAGAAAAAGGAGAGGAGAAAAGCGAGAAAAATAGGAAGGGAGCAAAAGAAGGGAGCGAAAGGATAAAATAAGAGTGAAAGAAAAAAAAAAGAAAGAACAGGAAAGGAATAAAAAAATAAGAAGAAAGGAGAAGATGGGGGGAGAAAAGCTAAACAACTAATTACTTGAGGCGCAATAAATGAAGGATTTAAGAGGCACCTAATTACCGAGGAGTTAATAAAACGCAGCTCAGTGGACCCTGACAGGCTCTGAGTCCGCTCCGACCCCGCTCACCTGTACGCCAGCCGCAGCACGAAGAGCTCCAGGAAGGCAGACTCGAAGAGCAGGTCCTGGTCCGTTTTGGGGAGGTCGGTGAAGCCGGGGATTTTTTCCGCCCACCCTCGGATGATCTCCATGGAGCCGGTCAGGAGATCGTAGAACTGCTGGATGTGCTGGGTGTCGTCGCCGCTCAGCTGGTAGTCGGGGTTAGCCTGG